AGAGTGAACCAACATAGTCAAGTTTCAAACCTTAAGACTAACACAATGAGAAAGATGTTAAAGCTCTATATGACTAAGGGGAGCTGCAGAACCAGATGCATGTTTGTTTCAATAAGGGGCAGTCAACGCCACAAAATTTGGTTCTGATCCAATACCAAGTCCAAAGTCACTGATATCATAATAAAACACAAGCCAGTGAATAACAATGTTTATTGTATGAACTAACACGGTGATTTCTGTGCACATACACAGTGACAGCAGAAGAGAAGCCATCATGTGACCAGAAAGTAATCTAACAAGAGAAAGGTCAATTGTCTGTTTGCTGCTGACCTTATGACAGCTTTCACAGCACACATAATAGGATGGTTTTCAACGCAAACTTTACCCATCATGACAGAGTGATTGTCTGTAATAGGATGGTTTTCAACGCAGACTTTACCCATCATGACAGAGTGATTGTTAAAAAGACAGACATGTATTGTTCATTTGCAAAATTAAAGCAGGCCTGTTGGCATACATTAATATACATAAGTCAAACAGACTATAGACGTAGCGGTCCAGATGTTCTCTTATCCACTGTGTTAATTGAGAATTGCTGGCACTGAAAACCACCCACAACCAGACGTGGGGAGATTCGAGACCTCTCAGTCAACTGTGTCCACTTAGCCTGATGAGTCTAAATGACTTTAACATCCACCCTGCCACAACTTGGCCAATAGATGTCAGTTTAGCGTCACAACTCGGCCAATTGGCTACTTACCCCAGCTTTGACCCAGGAGTAATGATGATGTACAGTTTAACATCTCAGTCAATCTCTATAGGCATCTAATAGAGAGAAGAAGTGGGAGTTCGCTGTGAGCTTCTCATCTACATCCGGAAATGAATGCTGATCTTTTCCATATTAGCCAGCCAATCAAAGAGGGTAATACAAGGGATCAGAGATAAAGTTAGTAAACATGGATCAATATCGGATTTGTACCATGCAAGATGTAGGATCTGCACCCTCTATTTGATTGGTCAGTACATACGGTAAAAGCTACGAACATTAATGAGGGTAATGTTGATACAGTAGTTACACTTCTTTTTCTGCCTTATGTTTAGTGGGGAAAATGAGCTTGGCTTTGAACTGGAACCCTAAAAGGGAACAGAAATTCTAAGGCTGGGGAATTTACCTTCAAATTATGATCAGAGTCCCCAGGATAAAAAGTTAAATGAATAATATATTCCAGTTCACAGACTGTTAGGTTGGACTGAGGGTTGGGACCCAAAATGGCCCCACCTCTAGTGGGGCAAAAACTCTCCTATGATTTAATGATCCTGGATCCCGGGAAATAAAAGTCATTTTGGTCCCTTGCAGAAAAGTTCTAAGATTTTTTTTCTCCCTCCAAATACTGTCTGTATTGTGTTGAATAGGAAGATTGGTGAGCTTGAGCTTAGCCTGTAACCACAGGATGACTTCAAAAGGATCAGGGCATGCTAATAGGTCAAAGCCTGATGTAATCTTAATCCAAAACAGACTGGACTAAGCGAATGAAGAGAAACAGATGGATGGAGCTGTATTAACTGTGACTGACCAGAAACAGAAAGAGGGTGAAGGAGGGAGGAATGAAAAGGTTTGATGGGGAAGGTAAGAAAAAGAGGGGGGACAAAAACATGACGAGGCAAGGCTGCTAAGGAGGAAAGAAAGAAAAGAGAGGTGAGACATGAAGCAAGAGAAGCAGAGAAAGCTGAGAGGAAAAGGAAGAAAGAAGAAAAGGAAGGAACTTGTTTAAAAGCAGATAGACAGACATGTCAGAGAAATGGAAAAAAAGTGTGTGTGCAACAGACAAATGTATGACAGCGTATGAAGCCCTCACGGTGGGGAAGGTATCCATCCAGTGACCGCAGCCTCCAGGCCAGATGAAGTGTGACTGCCTGGTGGTCAAACTGGACCTGAAGATTTTCCGCTGTTGCAAAACACTTCCTGCCTGCTGTTTTCATGTAATGTGACCGCTCACAGTTTGCTCCCCTGCCATACTTTAAGTTGTACAATATGTTATTGCTATGTTATTCCTTATGCCCACAGATTAGACTCTTGGCTCTCCAGGCCCTCCAGCCTTGGACAGACTCCACAAAAGCAAATAATGATTGGACTGTCCAACATGTGTTAGTCTTCAAATTGAGTGGTGCTCTCCATGGGGGAAGTCTGGGCAAGAACGACAGTGATCAGAGCTACAATCATATCTGACAAGGTGATATGCTGTTCCTGTGCTGCCTTGTAGGAGCACCACATAATGTGGGATATTTGCCCAGAGAATCAGTGAAACCAAGTGGGAATTAAACAAAAGAAAGCTAAAAAACAGAAAGGAGTTTCCCCTTAGTCAAACCGGTACAGCTTGTCAATAAAACACCCAGTGTTGAGCCAGTAATTAGACATTTAACTTTTATAAAATAAAAAAACCAAACCAAACACTTGATGAGTTTAAAACTTCTAAATCTTTGAAACCTATTGTAGCACTATTAGATTTACCCTGGGTTTTCTCATTCTTGTCCCATTCACAAACTCTGCTGCAGAGTCAGATTTCTGCTCCTTGTCTGCCAGAGACCTGCTTGCGGCTGCTGTGGTATTCCACGCTGAATGAGTCATGTCTGGTGGTTATTATGGGCAGGCGTTTGGCTGCCCCCCGGCTCTCCCCCCGTTTGTTGAGCCCCATCCAGTCGAGCTGACTGAGATCAGGTTCTTATTTAACCACGCTAGATGAGTTAAGTATACATTTTTGGTTAGTGGTGTAAGAATACATTGCTGTTTTAACTGCATGGTAAGTTGATCACTGGTACTTTCTTGTTTGAACATTAAAGCTGATGAAGAACACACCCTAATGAAAAGGTGTGTGGCTATCCAAATATCAACAGTGAGGTGAGAGAAAAGACAGTGGACATGTAAATCATGAGTATTCTGATTAAACCTTAAAGGTTTACATGGGTAGTAACCTACATGTAAGTGGTGGTGAAGTGTTTGGTGGTTAAAGACCGGCAGGTGTATGTCTTTGTTAGTCTCAGAACTTGTGGTAGTTTATCAAGCACTCAGTCAGTTACTGTACCTTGGGGTTGGGGCTCATAGGGGTAGGAAGTGTGTTCTTTACTGTGTTGAGTATTATGTTCCTATTTGGCTGGGCTACAGCCGGAGAGAAGATGTGGCCTTATTCACTGTCTTGCAGTGAGATAAATGAGCAAACTGGCTCCTCTCTCACAGTCTGCACACTAATCATGAAGCAACCACAGTTTAACACAACATGTCTGACTCCTCCCAGCACCAAAGATGCTCTGTCTCTTATATCTTTGGGGTCTTGTCATCACTGTGAGGCTGCCAGGAAACCAGTGCCTGTCATTTTTACACGTTCTTTTTTGTATGGATTAATCAGGTCAGATATACTGTAATGTGTTAATCAGCTGGTTCCCAATGTGCTTATGTTGAATGACATGGCGACAGTTGTTCCCCACTTTAAACCGGGTGCTTTATCTGCCTAACCAAACAAAATATTGAACAGTTTAGTAAAATCATAAAATATCAACTTTTTTGTTGAGTATGTTGAATGATTCGAGATGACTAAGAAAATAATTTTGCTGTGCACATGTTTTATTTATCAGAACTGATACGCCTACATTCAGCAGATCCTCCTGTGAGTGAAGCAAAATCATGGCTCATACATTCACAGATCGGACATGTGAGGGAAGAAAAGCACACACCTTGTTCACTTCTAATGTTCAGATTTTCCCGGCTGGGAATTTTGATCTCAGCCTGCAGTGGCACAAACCTTGTGCTGAGCCAAGCACTATCCTCTCTGTGCATTTCTTTTGTTTTTAAATATGAATAAAAGCCATTTTCTGGTGCAGACTGAGAGGGAACACGTGTCTTCGGTATGTGTATGAAAGAGAGACAACATGTGGGAGTCTTTGCGCATATGTGTGTGTTTTGTGTGCCTGTGATTGTTTTACCATGTGCTGAGTCCCTGTAAGGGACTGAATGAAGACAGATTTGAAGGAACCTGTCAGGTCTGGGCTACTGTCGGAAGCCCTCCTTCTATTACCTCGTCCTACTCTTCC